AGATATTGCACAAACCTGAGTTTAAACGAAAACAACCACTTCTCACCTAAACGATAATTCCAACAAATGAACAACAAAAAAATTTTTAATGTTCAAACATTTTCAGCTGTCTTTCAGAGGCCCTCATCTGGAAAAGTTGCAGAGAATAGAAAAGCATTTCTATCTTTTTAAAAGTTTTCGAATATAACTGTGTTCTAATTTTTAAGATTTAAACGATGTTGAATACAAAGAATCCTTATGTATTACAACATATAATTAAAATATTTACAAATAAAGTTATAAATAAATACAATAATAATATATATGGTGTTAATATATAAAATAATATATATGGTGGTAATAATACATTCAATGTTAAAAGTTAGCCCGATGTTTTAATGTATAAACAATGTGCGATAGGGAAAAATTGTTTCCTTTACATCTCCTAAAGATAACTTCATACTAAAAAATCATAGTTATGCTTTTTGGCTTTGTAAATAATACTTCCACGATTGTGGAACTGGAATATAGCCAGAGTTAATGCAACCTCCCTTCATGCCAGCTATATAAATTTCAATAGCCTCCAATGAATGTAAGTCGTGTCAGTCAAACGCTCTGTGTAAAAGCGTAGCTTCATCCCAACAATGAGAAACTCCGGGTTTGGTAGCATACTGGGCTAGTGCAGTATTATACTTCCCCTTGGGCACATCATACTTGTGGTCTCATATTCTAGCCTCTAGAGATCTGTACATGGACCCAATGTATGTTATATGCCTATTGAAATGATTGTCCTGCAATGGAATGCGGTACACTCTTGGCGCTTTCTTATCCTCAGACTTGTCTTTTGCATTAGATAAGATTCGAAAAATGTTCTGTTTTCTCCTATAAGCTAAGCGCAGGTTTAAATCCTTAACAATGCTATTATAAATTTGTTGGAGGGATGGTTCATAAGCTATAACTACCTGCTTGTGCTCTGCATCATTAAGCCTCATGTCGGTGGTAGTTAACTTAGATAGCTGGTTTGCAGTGAGCCTGTTTATTAAGGATTGGTGGTACCCGTGTGCAGATGCTATGGACTTGACGTGTTTCAGTTCATTGTGTGTATCGGAAGTGTCCAAGCAATGGGAGAAAGCCCTAGCAACTAAGGCCTGGAAAGCCACTACCTTAAAAGGCCAAGAGTCTGCTGAGTTAGCAGGTATAAAGAGAGGAATGTATGTGGGTTTGCAGTAAATAGATGTGGTTATATTTTTATTCGCCATACTAATCTTGACATCCAAGTACCTAACCTCTGTGCGACTTTCCTGATCTAATTCTAGTGTTAGGCTGTAGGCATTGTTGTTAAAAACTTTTAACACCTCCCCTATATCAGGTTTGGTTTTCCATATAATCAAAATATCATCTACATACCGCATATAACTAAGGATATTGTGTTGTAGGCTTACTAAGACTCTTTCCTCTAATGTACGTAAGACAAGTTCTCACAGATCCCCTGAGATAGGGCTACCCATCAGTACTCCTCTTTTTTGGATGTAAGTTTGACCATCAAAGTAGAAAAAGGAAGAATAGCATATTATATGCGTCAGCTCTAATATTTGGGAATGGAATCTCTGGACATCAGGTGTGGTGGTGAGAAAGAAATCTCTTAGCGCACAGAGACATGATTCCAAATGAATCAAAGGGAACATCAATACAAAATCGAATACAGTAATATATTTGTTTCCATTAAGATTTATTTTTTGGAGTTTGATGAGTAGTGCGTTTGAATCAGAGACAGTAAAGCTGTATGCGTCAAGATGGTTTTGTAACAATTGATGGATACGTTCCTCTAACAAGAATGTAGGAGATCTGGATTTATCGATCACCAGTTTTAATTTTTGCTCGGGTTTATGTGTTTTGGCAAAAGCAAATAGGCAGGGAGTGTCAGGGGAGCTAACTATTGAATGTTGAAGACCTAAGATTACAGCAAGGCCAGTGCAAGTGAACCTACCGACACAACTATGTAGCTTCATTGTGTAGGAGGTCTCAGCGGGTTGACATTTATACACAGGGCGTATGACTGACATGACTTACGTTTGTTGGAGGCTATTGAAATTTATATAGCTGGCATGAAGGGAGGTTGCATTAACTCTGACTATATTCCAGTTCCACAATCGTGGAAGTACAGTGGAATCTTGGTATACGTCTGCTTTAGAATACGTCCAATTCGGAATACGTCCTGTTTGGACGAAACAAATTTTGCTCGGTATACGACTTAATTCAATTATACGCGCCATCTATGAACAAGTAGCACTATCGGTGTACTACACTAGACTAGACGTTCGCGGTGCTACGGTTTATAACTTTGTTGAATTTCTTCAGATTTTAATTTGTAAGTAACATTTTATTATTTTTATTAATCATGAATTGCAAAAGGGCAACAGAAAAATAAAAAAAATGACTAGAATCACAACGGAACTGAAAAAACAGATTGTTGAGAAATATGAAGGTGGCACGCGTGTTCGATATTTAACGAGATTTAACTGTTGCATTCCGTATTCCGAGAACGACGATATTGACAATCGTGAAAAATAAAGACCTTATTAAATTTGCTAACGTTGCGAAAGGAGTTAAATCAATTTCTAAACAGAGATCGAAGACATTAGATCATGTCGAGAAATTGGTTTTGCTTTGGATAACTGAAAAACAGTGTGCCAGTGACAGTGTATCTGAAGAAATTATTTGCGAGAAAGTTAAAAGGATACATGCTGATCTCGTGAAAAGTCAAGCAGAAACTAGCGAGGAAACCGAGGTGTTTAAAGCCAGCTATTTTTTTTACATGAGAACGGATTAATCATTTTTACATTATTTCTTATGGAAAAGGTTGGTTTGGTATACGTCCTATTCGGTATACAGTGGTACCTCAGGATACGAAATTAATCCGTTTCGAAACTGAGATCGTATCATGAAAATGTCGTAAGGTGGATCATCTTTTCCCATACGATTACATGTAAAACCAAATAATTCGTTCCAACGCGAAAAACATACTCAAATTAAAGCCAAGTAATACATTAAAAAATATAACTGTAGTAACAAACATAAATGAAAAATGCGAACTAATGTAACGTCGTATGGTGAGTTTTTGTTCGTATCGTGGAGCAAAAATATGTTCGAATTTCATGTCGTATCCTGAAAATTTCGTATGCTGGGGCGTTCGTAACCTGAGGTACCACTGTAAGTCCAAACACTAGGAACGGATTAAGGTCGTATACCGAGGTTCCACTGTATTATTTACAAAGCCACAAAGCATAACTATGATTTTTTAGTATGAAGTTAGCTTTAGGCGATGTAAAGGAAACAATTTTTCCCTATCGCACATCGTTTATACATTAAAACATCGGGCTAACTTTTAACATTGAATATATTATTATTGTATTTATTTATAACTTTATTTGTAAATATTTTAATTATATGTTGTAATACATAAGGATTCTTTGNTAAAACATCGGGCTAACTTTTAACATTGAATATATTATTATTGTATTTATTTATAACTTTATTTGTAAATATTTTAATTATATGTTGTAATACATAAGGATTCTTTGTATTCAACATCGTTTAAATCTTAAAAATTAGAACACAGTTATATTCGAAAACTTTTAAAAAGATAGAAATGCTTTTCTATTCTCTGCAATTTTTCCTGACGAGGGCCTCTGAAAGACGGCCAAAAAAGTTTGAACATTAAAAATTTTTTTGTTGTTATTGTTTAGGTGTGAGCTGGTTGTTTTAGTATATATTTCCAGTTTGTGTGCCAGTTTTTTTATGTCTGAGTTTAAACGAGCAGCGAACCTACTAAAAACCATTTATTATTTAACATCCAAAAAAATTATATTTATATTAATGATGTCGCCAAAGTTCAGCAAATTTTTCACAGAAAAATAATTTATCAGGAAACACGTGTGCCCTCGTTCGATGCGCCGCTCCATGACGAAAACAAGCTTAAGCAATGGCGTTGTTGAACAGTGCACACTCGGTACGTGATCCTACAATTTTTTGTTTATAGCATAGTTTATATGGATTATTCCCAAAAAATTTTGTGTATTTTGGAAATGTTGAGTCAAATTAGTCTAGAATCTATTAATTTTATGGAAGAAAATCTTTCAAACAGCCGTAGTCTGTAAACTGCACATGTGCTGGGCTGTGATTGGTTCATGTATTTAAAGATTCGTAGAATATCAATTTCATAAAGAACGGAACATATCTACTGTGTTATAGGAGGGTCGACTGTACAATGCATAGTGTGAATTGCCTTGACTTAGCAGATTTCTGTTAATCTCATATACATCTTTTTGTGCATTAGAAAGGCTTTCAACATCCTTAGCATTTATGCACTTAGCTCTTTGGTGGATATGTAAATTTACAATTCTTCAAGACCTATTTGTAGACAATGAGTCTACAGATTCAATTTAATGGTATTAATTTTCAAAAAATTAAATGTTTATAGCCGTTTACTTCCAATATGTTACTGGCTGGATGTAGTAGTCTAGTTGCCTCCATACCAGAAGTTCAGCTTAGTACACATGCAGCTAGATTACTAAATCCAGTCAATAACATATTAGAATTAAAATGTCCTGAACAAAAATTACAATGGTGAATTCATTCTAAAACAGTTTTTTTAGGACAATATTTTGCCCTCAAGAAACTGTTATATCTATAGTCTTTGACTGCCTGTTCTTCATATATAACTGTGCTAATATGAACTTTTCACTAATCTGAACAATCTTGTTCAACAGTTAGTTTAGATTAGTGAAAATGCACTGTACTTTGGTTTTTGTTTTAAGGAGATGCAAAATAATTACATAAGTTGTTAATACTATTTTGAAAATATTTTTAAAAATTTGAACAGTTAGACTGTACTGTATTTAATATTTTTATTATTGTATTAAAAACTATTATAATTTACTAGTGATATGAAATGTTATTGTTACCATTGTTTATATACAGTTTTTTTCCTAAACATAATGAAAATAAATATTTTAATCTAGGTTATATAAAAAGTCAGTGTTACAAAAACTTGTTGAAGCATGTGTTTCTAAAGGCTATGTTTTTCAAATGGAAATGATAATAAGAGCTCGTCAGCTTGGATATACCATTGGTGAAGTAAGTACTTAGATTAATAAAAAATTTTGATTGATGTATTATTTTCTATGATTTAATATTTGAAAAAAAAAAATAAATAATTTGACAATTAGATATATTTTATTTATTTATTTAATATGACGTACAGTAAATAAATCCCTTTGAATGTGATTTAAATTAAAGATAGCAAAATTTAGCATTATGTAAAATACAAATAAAAAATTACAATGATTATTGTACAATATACAAACCAACAAATGTAATCTATAAACAACAAATAAATAAAGAATGAAATTTGATCAGGCTGTGATGGACTGCTCCATATTAGAAATAAACAAACAATAAGCCACAAAGCTTACCTGGAAAAAGTTTATAAAATGTAAATTAAGTACAGCACACATTAATTCATCATAACCAATCACAGACAATTCTTACAAAGCAGAAAAGCCACACTGAACTAATATGGCAGAGTGGTGAAGCAACACCCCCCCTGAAAATTTAATCATAGAATTTATAAAAACTTACTATTTTAATAATATAAAATTTTAATATCTTATCATTTAAAAAAGTAATCAATAAAGTTCTCTTGTAACAACAATCTTATATCAAAATATTTTTTATGGAGTTCAGCTAGTTTATGCTTCTACAGGAAGCAACATCGTGAAAAGTACCTTCATCACCAAAGAAAATCAACAAACCTTTTAAGAAAACATATAGAATCACTTCTAACTAATAATTCTTAACAAAGCAAACCAAACATAAAAATTTAAATAACTTTGAGATATACAACATCATCAAAATCTCTATACCAAAAGATCTGTTAGTGTCATTTAAATCGGTTCAAATTCGGTTTAAATTCCACAGGTTCAAAATTGTCGTTCAGCCATTGTCTATAAGAAAAGCTGATTCACTAAATTCTGCATCTCCTTACATAATCAAACTGTTTAGATAAAAGAAAATCTCTACCTTTTCTCATCAAAGTGATTTTAACACCAATTTATTGAACCAAAGAAGTCATCTTTTCACAATATTAAAATAAATAGTAAGTTTGGCAAACTTTAAGATTATAAAGTAATGCGGAACCCCACAGCCCTTACTATAACAATGTTTAACGAAATGCCACTGGATATTCTCAAACATGTTACACCAATCTATAAACCAAACTTCTATACAAAACCAATGCTTGTACAGTACCTAGGCTTCAAATGACTGATGTTTTTTTCTCTATTTAACCAATTTCCCTAAGTACATGTGTGAATAATCTTTATTGAAACTAGTCCTGCCATTTTCTTAATCAAATTCAAATGTTTAAGGAACTTACCATTAGAATAAGTTAAATCTGAAACCAGAAGCCGAATAGTCAACCACCTCTTTCATTAACCCATTCAAATAGAAATTAAAAAGAATATGATTTAACACACAGCCTGACAAATACCTCTCTATTCATAAAACAAAGTTAGACTTAGACTTTCCTGTCCTAGTCTGCACAAAAGCTGAAGTATAACTATACCAATGCATTAAACAATACCCAATTCTATATGTTAAACCATTATCCCACAACACATGCCACAAGATATATCTTCAAAAGATCAAAGGCAGAATGCAAGTCTACAAAAAAGACATAAAGTTTCCAAGTGATGTAATTTATTTCTTACATCATTAAGATGATTTGTTAATTAAAAATTTTATTAGAGATAATTTATGATTTGCACAGTGTTTCTTTTTCTAAGAAAATTCTTTAAATTTAACCAATGTGAAAGCATTTCAATATTATTTATGGTGAAAGTAGAATAAAAATATTGCTAATTGTTCTAGCATTGTTACTATAGTTATTGTTATATATATATTGTTAGATAGCATTACTTTGGATAAAAGTGTTTTTTAATTGTTCTATTTTCATAATTTTTTATATCAAAATGTCAGATATTTTCGTGAAATGTATTTAATATTTTATTGTCTCTCTTGTGGTTGTTAACATGATTGTATATTTTCATTAAATGCAAAGAAACATTTTTTGTCATTCTAAAAGCAAACATACTTTTAGTTTTATGCAAATACACTATTTTATGGAAATTTTAAGAAAAGATATACATAGTACAGTAGAGCATCGTTTATCCGAATCAATTGGGGACTGGGGTTTTTCGGATAACTGATTATGTACGAAAAAATATATTAACCTATCCCATCCTGAAATTTTTCTCCGTTGCGTGTCGCTTTGCGTTGAATTTTTGTCAATGTTAAGCCTAACGTAAACTTTTTAAAATAATAATCGTGGCTATTTTATCATTAAAAATTATTTCTTTATTTTGTACAAACAAATTAAATATATTGAAAAATATAAAAACAATAAAAAATTATACTTCAGAAGTTAATTTAGTATCAAAAACGTAAAATATTTGAGTAGCCCAGGACATAGCCAAAGATTGCAGCACCACAGTACTAGCGAAAATTAAAATTTGCCAACTGGAATTCTTTTGGATAACTGACTTTCGGATAAACGACGCTCTACTGTATATAGGAAAACATAACCTAAAAAATTATTTTTAGTATTAACTGTTTAATTTGAATAATTACCGGTAATTTATATTAGGACATTTTATGATTAATAACAAATTTATCTCATAATTGAAAAAAATCTCTTTCAAGATATGTATAATATATTTTCTTCAGGAAAAAATTTGAAAGAAATGTTAATGAGGAGGTATAAAATGTACTTTATATCCTTGTAATGATAAAAATTGAAAATATTTGAAAGTTATTTATATTGATTACACACACAGAGTTAAAACCTCTATATAAGGAATTTTCCTTTATAATAAGATTTTCTGTAGAATGTTGAAAGACTTTTTTTCTTTTATATTCACTCCTGGTGTATTTTTCATCTAACAAATTCTCCATATTTGCTATGACAGTTCATTTAATATATATTAATTTTTAAATATTATAAATTCTAAAACGTTATATGCATCATTTGTGATACTATATATTTCATAATATCCTGATTTTGGATTCTTTCCAAATTACTAAGAATAATGTTATTATACTGAATAAAATTTGTTATTATTCTATTGTAAATGTATGATAAGCTATTTTATGCATGCAATATTTTTACATAATTATTCTTGATTATTTCTTTATTCAATATACAAAAGTATTATTTTAAAATAAGTTGCATTTTTTAAATATCATCAAAACTTTAAAAATTATCACCAATAAATTTATTAAAATTAATATTAAGTTCTTGTAATCTGATTTATTCTTTAATATTTAGATATTTAATATAGTGACTTTTAAATTTACATGTATTTTTAAAACCTTTCATAAAAATAAGTGTCAATATCTCAGAAAATATGCACAATACTATATTTTTACTGTTACATGTTACAAATTGATTAAGGCCAAATGCAAGAATAATGATTAACTAAGAGTTTCAGTAACTATGAAATTTTTGCTGTAAAATAAATTTTTCATTAAAATAAAAGAAACTGAAATTCATTTAGGATTTTTATAATAGCATTATGAAACACACAATTAACAAAGTATTGAAAAAAATACACAAAATAATTAATCATATCTAAATGCTATCATTTCGTAGAAATTATACAATAGGAAAATTAATCTTCCAAGAATTTAATAAGCTTAAATGATGATATTCAGTTATACAACATGACAGTCACTAACTTAAATGTTGTAGATTTAAGATGTCATTGTTATGTATAGTGATATCAAATTTAAGTTGATTTGAATTTTATATAGAGAGATCAGCTAGATACATTGAGGAAACATAAAAAATAATTACAGTACAGTATATATAATATCTGTAATTTGAACAATTTGTATTTGATATGAAATTTTAATGTTATTTGAATGTCTATAGATACAATAAACAAAATTTTTCATATTTAAGAACAAATACATTAACTTTTATTTTTACTAAATTATATAACTGTCTGAACTTTTTAAATTGTAGAAAATAAATTTATTGTTGAATGCATAATATGTGGCATCAATAATTATTTTATATCACAGACTTATTAATATAAATTTTACAAAATGTATTATAATTATTAATATAGTCATTTAACCTTTTAAATTATATGACTGGATATTACAAAATTTAAACCGATTCTTTGTATTTAGAAATATTTCATATGAAGATAAATTTTGTTTCTTGTTTTTACTGCATAGAATATTTAAATACTTTTGCTGAATAAGCTGAAACAAAATTTTTAATCAAGCTTTTTTTCATCTATTTTTATCATCATTATCTTCAGAACAATATATCAAATTAAACAGAATAAAATCAAAAATTTTTTAAAAAGTGAAATGAAAAATCCATGTTGAATTGCATAAATGTTTTTTGAAGATGAATATATAAAATGTTTTAAACATTTCTTATGATGTTGCCTTTTTTTGGTTGACTGTAAGCATATTATATCAATATATAACAAAATAAAATTAAAGAGAATTAATATATGTAACAAAATTATATAATTATAGCAAAACCTTTTTATCTGTCAGTGTATGTTAACCATTATGTTACTAGTGCATTATATGTCTGAGAAATTGTATAATAACAACAGCATTTGTCAGTCCAAATTTACAGAACATGCATACATTAAACAAAAACTAACAAAAGAATATAATAACAGATTAAATGCAAAACACATATGACATCCCAATACTCATATATTCATTCATATATTCTCATATGAGATGAGTTCATTAAGTAACTTGAGTATCATTATGAGAGTTTTCAATGCATAGGAAATGACATAATATAGCAAAGAATTACTGAATGATTAGTGTGCTCTTTCTAAATATGAGGGTGTTTTGAAAAGTAATGCCTTCTTTATTTTTAAAATGCATTATCTGAAAAATTTATTCAAACTGAATATATAAAATGAAATATAAGTATAAGCCTATTTTTATATCTAAGAACTTATCTCAGCATGTCACAAAGTTGAAAATATCATTTCAAAAATCTGTTTTTTGAGAGTTAAGTCCTGGATTTTAGTTCTTCATCTTCCCCTTAGAGAAACTTTTTTTTGGGGGGGTTAAATTGGTGATAGTTGCTAGGTATTAGGTCAGAGCTGTAGGGTAGATGTGGCAGTAGTTTCCAACTGTTTGCAAAGTGTTTTCTGCAACCTTCTATGTTTGTGGGCAGATTGCTGCTCATTGCATAAGTTCATTTGTTCTTGTTTAAACATTTTTCACCATTTGTCAGATGCTATAATAATTCATACAATCTTCAAAATACTTTTCAAACATTTTGGCATGGATTTTTGATAGTTTTTGTCTTTTCATTCAAAACAAGCACACCACAACTCTGTATCACTTGCCTGCAAGTACTTGTTGAACAACATTGTGGAAGAGAAAAAGAGTGCACTTTACAATCCTGCTATTTTTTTAATTGAAATTAAAATGTATGCAATAGAAAAGAAAAGGCATTATTTTTCAAAACTCCCTTGTATCTACTCCAAAAAAAGAATATTATATTATTATGTAACATTTGTACTATTCTCAATAATTGACTGAGGTAATTCTTCATCCAAAAATAAAGAAAATTCATGCTATTCATAATGAAATTGGTAACACTTGGAGGTCAGCCATTTTGTTGCACTGATTGAAAACCAACTATAGAGTGCAAAAAAGTGCTGGCACTGGAAGAGGATGTTTTTTTTTTTTACTGAACATTGTGCACCAAATGATCTGTACATGCATTGATGCATTTAAGTTCATTTACTGAACTTGTCTCTAGAATTACAGAAGATACACACAAAACTAGAACAACTCCAAAGAAAAATACAACAACATTAACAATCATCATCCTAAGTCCTCTGTGGAAAGGCTGACATTTCCTTATAAAGAGGTATGACAAGGCCTCAGATATTACTACAAGCCAATTACAACACTGAGTTTTTTGACAAAAAATAAGAAACATCACAATTACAGACAGATTTTCATTTAAAAAATGATATGCCATTAAACCTGCACAACATTGACCTGGATCTAATACTATACAACAGACACAGACACCGTGTAGCAGTCCCGGATTTAGAAGAACCATCATAGTAGGTATCCTAATGATCTCAGCTAGAATTATGTTAACTGAACTGCATCAAACTGTTGTGACTCATGAATGACACTTTGGAGAGATGGAAGGATTTATGATTGCCAAATAAGACCATGTCACAAATACAGAAGACTACAGAAATTATTTCTTGAAAGATCTAACAATACTGTAGATGATACTTATAGAAAATGACATATCATGCATGAAATTGAACAATATACATCAGGTTACAAGCAATCAAGGTAATATACAATTTCATGTGATGTGTTTTCTATTTGATCATTGTGATTACTTCTGTTGATGTAATGAAATAGAAAACAATATATCAAAAGCTTGCACACAAACAAACACTATTAGACACCCAGTAACAATACTATAAATACACATCTCAGACAGTCATAGAAAGCATCACACATACTATGACTCAGCCATAATCACGGATTAAACAACTCATAACAAAAGACCAGATATCACATTCATTGACAAACAAAACAAAATCATATGTTGTATACATAGCTATACCAGATACCCACAACATTCAAAATACATATACTGAAAAACTTAGAAAATACTCCAAACTTACCTGCAAAATAGTGTCCACAGATGCTGTATTTTGTAACAAGTTGTGCCTATGGTTCTATCTTGCAAAGGCATTGTACCAAATACATTACACAAGAGTATAGCAACATTAGGGCTTCACAACAGTGCGCATAATGTGTGACAGAAAACAGCCATACTTAACAAGTCATATAATCATCTTAAACACAGATGCATACATGAACATCACTTAATAGAAATAACAGCTTGTTTTATACCTTAATGCTGGACCATAGTGCTAGGCATTAGTATTAACCAAGTAGGATACATTCCACCAACATCATAATAATAATAATTCTTATTATAAATTTATTGGTAATTTCATAGTTTGGTTATCTTGTATACCAATAATATTGTGGTGGTTGTATTATAAATATATTTAAATGTTAAAAATAATAATTTTTTTATTCCTTTACTTTTTATATTTATAATTTATTCTTGTTTCTTTAGTAGAATAATTTAAAATGTTAATTGACAAAAGCATTAGAAAGCATAATAATGATGATAAATATTATTAGAATATTAATCATAACAACAAGTAACAGTGCTAATAATTATGTTGTTTTCCATAATTGTTTTTGTATAGGTTCCGATTACATTTGTGGATCGTTTTTATGGAGAATCTAAACTTGGAGGAAATGAAATAGTCCAGTTTGTAAAGGGTCTCTTGTATCTGTTTGTTACCACATGAATCAAAATATAATTTATTTTTATAAAATTAATAATAATAATTTATTAAATATAAGAAAAAATTATGTTAAACAGATTTCTTAATTATGAAAATTATAGCTAATATGCATTTAAATTTTTGAATTTATGTAAACATATAACAATTGGTATATGATAGAAATATGTTTTTATCTTTTAAAATAATAACTTTAAATGTTTGGTATTTGATCTTGGCAAATAACTTATGGATTTTAGCTACAAGTGTAACAATTAAGATCTTTTAAAATATCTTAAATTTTAAGATAAACTTTTGAGATATTACATAATGTTGCTGTTGATAAGACATTTAAAGTAAATTCTTTAAAATAGATTAAATTTAAAGCATTAAAGTGAAACTCAATTATATAACATAGCTACTTGGAATTCACCTGTTTTCATTTAAAAGATGCAAAATGAAAATCATCATCCAACTAAATGTTGAAATGATGCTTAATTATAATTAAAACACTAAAGCAAATTTTGATACATTAATTTTCTTTTAGGAAAATATTGAAAATTTTATTATTCACTTTCTAAGGTGCGTTGTAATATTTATTACATCAGATGTATCTATTGTTTTCTCTGATGTCCACTTTATATTATTAGAAATAAATTGTATAGCTAATATAAGTAGTTATCAAGAGAATTTCATACTGTAATAAATTATTTTTTTATTGTATGACTGATATTAAGTATGTAATTAAAATGTTTTGATATAAAAAGTTTTTTTTGATTATTACTTTTTTTTGAAATATCTGAATAATAAATTATTTTTGATATAATACAACATTAAAGCTGCAGTTGATTACTTTAATGAATGTAATCTATTTTTAGATAGTAAATGGAATTTTAATTGAATAATTTTTATAATTAATTATGATTAAATAGGAAAATTATTTTAATTTCTTGATATTTTGTTTTAAACCTGGAGGATATTTTAGGCTCAAAATATGAAATGATAATACTGCATTAAATAAGAATGCACAGGAGTATTGAATTAGATTGATTGATATGACAAACTCAGATTCAGAGTAAATCAGTTTTCTTTCTTTCTTTTTGAAAAAATCAATTTCTTTTGTATTAGTTATTACAAAAAATCTCTTGGATACTTGTAATATTTTAAATTTTCAGATTTTATTTAAGTAATTTTTTTATAAAACAATATTTGTTTATAAATAAATAAAATACTAAACTTCAAACTTAGAAAAGTTGTGCTGTTTATCATAGAAATTCATTAAGAAATTTAACTGATATCCAAAAGAAATTTTGATGAAAAAATGCTATGTTTGGATAAATTTTTGATAATTTAGAAGTTATGAAGATGCAAAATGATTTTAACGTAGCCATACACAATAAAAAAATACGCTAGATATTAAATGAAGTTTTAATTATATGGACAAATACTTTATATTATAAAAAAAAAAAAAAAACATTCTTTTACAAAGAAAAATTTTTGTAGAATTATTTTTATTATTAAGTAATTTTTGAAAGAAAATTATTTTTCTTCTTTTTCTAATTAAGGTTGAGATTTACAGTTATTTCATCCTTCGTTAAAGTATTTTTACATAAGAAAAGAATCAAATATTTTAATAAAATGCTGTTATAGATTAAATTTCTATAAAAAAGTAATTTTTGCGTAAAATTATTTAGATTCATCAACAAAATAAACAAGTACAGTACTATAAAATAAAAAGAGAATACTTTGAACATAAACTAAATACTGAAATATAAAACTTTCATTTAATTTCTAACAGGCGATCAATTTTGCATCTTGATAATTCTAATGGTGCATTTAAAGTAACCTAATTTAATGAAATTCAAATTAATAAATTAGCGAAATAAGAAGACTTTGTGTTATTTTGATCAGTGGCATCGGTATAAAATAAGTTATACAAAAATGTAGGTAAAAACAAGATTTAAAACTATGAAATTATCTCTAATGTGAGGAATTATATAATGAATTTTTATTTTGAAAAGAGTTTAAAACAAACCAACATATCACAATTTTATTTTAATGATTGTAAAACAGAGTACATTTTTTTTTTTAAATTCACATGCAGATTATGTACAAGAAAATGAAAAACTCTTATTTACATTTTATCATACATTGATTTTTTTTTATAGCCTTTTCATCAGAATAAACAATAACAGAGATAGACAACTTCCCTCAATCAAAATAATACATACACAGTATTTCTGAAGTAATTATTTTTCAATATTTTAATTCTGTAACCTGAGAATATTTCTTCAATGTGTTGACTAGAACTGAGATCAGAACAGGGAAGTATTGATACAAAGACTATAAATTATTCTTTAAAAAATACATATAACAATTATGATGGAAAAATAATTAAAATTCAGCTTCTACAAAAAATTTTAATGAGTTGTACAAAAACTTTTCAAAAGAATTTTCAGCTGACTAGTAGCATTTTACATTGTTATTAACTGCTGTAAAATGTTTCTTTTATGGAAATATTATTTACAATTTTTTTTTCCAGTTATCAATCAGTGGGATAGAAAAGAAATAGTATATAAATTTCGATTATGCAAAATTTGAATATGTTACTTTCACTTTTAATTTGTTTACTATGCTTATCTTACTATGATACTTTTATCAAATGTGTATCGGTGCAAATAAATTAAATTTAGCAATTGATAGAAAGAGAAATTTCAATAAAGATAGCTAAGAGTGAGTCAACTCTTGAGGAGTTTTAGGTGGACTTTCTAGCAGAGGTGACATGCAAGAAGGAACACAAGCTGTAAGAGCCCTTTTTTCAGACCACCTATTTCGTTTCTCTGATACAGTGACATTTTTTCTGCTGGTAAGAATGACATGGCACACCATTCCTTTGCATTCTCGACATACGGTGGTTAGTGGTCCCTTGGGAGTTTCTACGGTCGTTTCGGCTTCCTGAATCGTCCGTGATCTATTAAAAGGAAAGCGTCTTGCTGCTGGCCAAGTTCCAGTTGCTTCATGAATTGCATGACTGGAGATTGACTGATGAAGTTTATTTCCCTCCAGTTGATTAGATTTTGTTACAATATGTTGGCTCCTTTTACTTGTCCACAAACTAAATAAAAAAAAAAATAGTTCTTTGCTTTAATAAAAGATAGTATAACATTTCAATTAATTAAAACTGACACTGAAGTTTTCCTATTAAGCATAAAACTCAAATAATTTAAAATTATGCCAACCTGGGAAGCTGAAACGATTCTGATAATTTTTTTAAAGAATATCCAGTTGCATTAGTGTCTGGTAATTCTGTCACTGGACTGGGGGTTGGGCTGAGCATATATACAGGGATGTTGGCAAAATGATCCGTAGGAATACGCATCTGAATAATAATAGTTGAAGTCATAAATTAAAAACGTAAAATATAACAACAACAAACAGCACTTACCTTAGTAGAACATTTGTCACAGACAATTCTTTGACACATCTTGCATTTAACTCCCCAAGGACCAAAAAATGAAAATCTTGTTTTTTTACACGTAAAACATACCTATAAATAAATAAATGTAAATAAGTAATTTAAATATTTATGAATTAAATCCACATGTAACGAACTTACTTTTCCCTTTTCTAATTCCTGGTATAATGTGTTTCCCATGTTTAACATTAACGTTTCTAGTTCTGCTTTCGTTAATACATTTCTTATGTGAATCACTTCTTCCAAAGTTAAAGAAAGTGACTGGATGGATTTTTCCCAATGAGACTAATAAATTTCATTTTTTTTTAAATATTTAAGCATGCAATTTAATAATTAAAAGAAATTTTATATTAAAAAATCTACTCACTGCACTCCAAACTGAAAAGTTGTTTGGTATCGAAGATATTTGAAGTTGTGGACTTTTACAAATGAATTTTCCTGAAATTAATGCTAGTTGCTGAGGTTTTGTAGGCGACTCACAAACCGATATGCTATGTCTTCTTTCTAATCTGTGACCTAAATAAAAGGGGGGGTTTTTAGTATTTTTTATTTATTAAAAATTAAAGAGTAGTTTCCAAAATTTACTTTGTTGCCATAATGTGCTTGGTGGTTTAATGGTTGTTACATTATCTGTTTGATGTGTAGTTGCAGTTTTCTCGGTTGTAGGCGTTACAGGAAAATCGGGATCGTCGTCGTCGTCATCAAAACTCGGTGTTAAGGAGAGAGATAAATCAGCCTTAATTAAACGTCTTCGAGGCTGAGGCGTAATGTCGTTATCATTTAATTTTGTTCTAGACGTTTCCACTGTGATTCAAAAATAATCTCGTTATTATTCAATAAAATGGAAAGGAATGAAATATCGCTTTTATTTTCTAAAATCATCACCTGTTTCCTCCCTGTTTCCGGTAGGACGGAGCGTATGCTGTTGACGGATGGAAGCCATTAGTTTCTCGTATAGAGTAGGCTGTTTCGGTGGAGCGGGAGCTAATTTTCTTTTTGATACCTGTAAATATTTATTGCTCTTTATACTTCTTTGCATTTTAAAATCGATTAAAATATAAATGAAAACGTACGGGAACCAACGGTGGTCGAGATCGAATAAACTCTAAAATCAAGGCATGGGCATCTTTCTTCACTCTCGGAGGTATATCACCATTGACCTAGATTATAGAACTTATTAATAATTTTATTGAAATTTACAGTGAAGTAACAGAAATATACTAACCATAATTTTATTTAGTTTATATCTACGAGAACGTATGTCATCTAATAACATTTCGTAAGGAGTCAATTCGAATTCGATAGGCTGAGGATTAAGATCTCTCTCCACTTTTCTTAATTTTACACCTTGGCGCAATTCTCTGATTACTTGCATCCATAGACCCGCCTAAAAGACAGGTTATAAGTTAGTATATAATTTAAAAATATGGAGATAAAATCTTAATAGCCATTTTTTTTTACCCAATCTTGAAATTTCAAGTTATCTAAATTTGATTCTCCATCAGTTTCAACCAAAGCGTGCTGTCTCAGTTCTTTAGTACCTGCTGAAATTTTTTCTAGAAATGTAGATAATTCTAACACTTCGGCTACCAGAGCTCGACACACTGCTTTGTAATGGCCGTCCGCCTGACCAGGACACGCTAAACGATTGGCACATATCTTGAAAAGAAAAATAATAAATTTTATGTTAATAATAAGATCTACTTTAAACTATTAAAAATTTTAAAGAAATCTTATCCATCTGTACTTCACGAACTATAATTATTTTTAAATACTAAGCTATCTTGAATATTAATTTCACGCCTGTACGCATCTTCTAATTAGGCTCATAGTTTTAGAGGATTTTGATATCCAACACAATGGGATTAAAGGACAACATTTATTTTAAAAAATGTTGGAGAGAGATATTTAATTCCTTTACAAAAATAATTTTTATTTTATAATTTATGTTCTTTTAAGTATCATTTTTATTTAGACGTGGAAACAATCTTCTATTAAAATGGTTTAAGCTGTTGTAAAAAAATATCCCCCCCTTCTAAATTAATATAAATGAGCTTTCAGTATAAATATCCTCGGGACGAGTTTTGTGTCATAAGATACGAATAGGATACAGTAATGTAATCCTATAATATATGCAGAAATATATTATTCTCGTAAGCTTTTCATCCAATTTAATCTGGAATCATAAATTTTAAAGAAATTCTGACATATTTTTCGTTAAAAATATAAATTTATAAGCGCTTTTAAAGTTAGTTTGTCTTATATATATATTTTTTTCTTTACAGAAAGGAAACTTCTGTTTACCAAACCCATTTTAAATTGTTTTTTTGTGAAGACATATTTGAATAATTACGTTCGATTTAACAAAATGTTAGTTAGTTACATAGTTATAATTATATTTGTAACTAAGCAACTACGTTGTTAACATTTTTTTTTTCTTTAATTAAGGAAAAACTTCAACAGCAAACATAATTATAGTGGCATCAGTTGGTTACAATGTTCAACTAGAAAACAAAGAAAATGGCATTTCAGTTCTGCGAGAAGCAACATCGTGTAACATATTTCAACACTAACTGATCTAATCATGAAACATGTTAACTTTCCCTTATAGAATATAAAATTTAACTATAAAGTTTTCTTCTGGTAGGGCGATATGAAAAAAAGAAAAAAAAAAATTTTTTTTCTTCTTCGAAGCATTCGAAGATGGATGATCCCAAATACTTGGATCGTTTTCAATTTAAGTTAAATTTAATTTCCTCCTGCAAAGAGAACTGAATTCTAACAATTTAAGAAGAAACTTTTTCACATTATTCGTTAAAATACAATTTATTCTCTCGCTGTATTTTTTTAAGTTCGTCGGTTGGTTGACCACAGATAATAGACGTAAATAAAGCCAAGATTACAAAAGATATAACACGCGGTAAAATATTGTTAAATCGCATTTACATTTATTCGAGAAGGTAAAAATTATTATTATTATTTTTTTAAATTATATAACATTTTTACACAAAAAAATGCTAATTTAATTCCGTATATAAAGGCAACTAGTGACACAATTATCGTCGACAAATTAATGATCCACAACATATACTTTAACTCTACAAAAGGATTAGTCACCATCTGTCCATGACCTTGCAACCAAACACCTGCTCGTTCCCACTAAATTGTTCTCACATCACTGCATCCATTCTTAATGGGTGTTATTTTCTGTATAATTGTCTTACGGCACATCATTTTCCTCCCTCTCTTTTCTGAAATTTTAAATTGTATGTATCGAAACGTTCGCGTATCATGAATTTTCGTGTAGCCCCACCTCGAGAAACCGAAGCGTGAAAAGTTTAATGTTTATCAAATCAGTTAACGATAACAGCTTCCATGTTTTCTAGACATGTTCGGAATGCCGTGTGAAAGCTACAGAATAAAAAATTTATGGCTATTCAATTGGTTAAGTGAGTTTGAAATTCAGTTTCTATTGTTGTCTAGAATTTAGAATTTAAAAAATTAGTAGGAGTTGCCACGAATACAATACATCCCCCCCCCTTTTATCTAACTTTTAACGAGTAAAACTTTTCAAAAAATCAATGAAAAATAATGTAAATTAATTATGATTTTTTCGCTCTCGAAACGCATTTGTATCTGGCATTGATAATTAGAAATTTGAATATTTAAATTATTCTTTTTAAATATATTTAATAATAATTAAAATTGTATTTTTGTCTAAAAAAAATTTTTTTTCTTTCGTACCTCCATTACTTTAATTAAAGTCACGCCCTGCGACTGTTTAGAATCGGAATCGTCGTTCGTTTCATCTTCCTCCGCATCTCTCTCGATACCTTCGTCACCATTTTGAGATTCAGCGTCATCATCTGACGTCGTACCTTCGTCATCTTGATCCGCTGACGTCATCACGTCGATTAAACTCTCTAATTGATTGCTAAGACTTCTTTCTTCGTTTTCCGATAAGCCGTAATCTAATGCTTTAAAAATTGCCAGACCCAAGGACGAAACGAGCTGCATTGAAAAAAAATAATAATAAATGCGAGAAAGCCATTAAAATGTAATTTTCGAGTTCTGGAAAATTTCTAAAAAGAAAAAAAAAAATTGAAAGTTTATATTGGAATAGGAAATAGAAGTTTAAAAAAAAAAAAATGTTTACTGTTTAATAAAAGCGGAAGAGGAAATCATGTGACGAAAATTGTGAAGTTATCACGCATTTCTAACTTAATATCGTGATGCAGAAGGTCTTTCACAATCCCGCGTGATGCATGAAAAGGGCATTCGAGTTCCGCGTTAGAATTTTTAAAATACAAATTTAAAAAAAAAATAAATAAATAATAAAATTTCTTGAAATTTTCCGAAGATTTACAAATTACAATCCACTGAGGTATTTTTAGACTGGTAACGTTAGCTGTCGTGTAACGTTAAGAACAATAAAAGTAATTCTTATTATTATCTTGACATAAATTTATATATTTAATATATAAGGAAATAAAATTTATACCGAGAAAAATTGTAAAGAAATGTGCAATTTCATTGTATTACACGAGCTCTCTCTCAGTTGATTTTTCAAAGAATTTTTAAATATAGTAACTCTGTTACAGTTTAGAAAGGAAATATTATGCTATAAATTATTTTAAAAATTACTATTAAATTTTAATATAAACTCTATAAATGTCAACTATAAATAATATTTAATAGTCTAAATTTATGGAATGAAAATTTCATTAGAAATTTCTAATAAAATATTTAAATTTTAGTTTACTTAAGCGCATTTATTATTATTATTAAATGTTAATATATAAAAAAAAAAATTAATTACCTGATATTCGTTATCAGCCAATGATCTGAGCCCTGAAATGAAATTTTTCTGTTAATTTTTTTTATTTTATATTTTACTCTAATAGGCTATAAATATTCGAGGAAATATTCAACGGGTTAAAACAATTATCGTATTAAAAGTAGCATAACTAATTTAATTTGTGATGAGTAATAATATAAACATCGTGCCACATTTATTTATATTGTATAATATAAACAAACGTACATTTATTAGTTTTATAATTCGAACTGTCAGTAATGGTAGATTACACAAGTAGGAAATCAACGTAAAAGAAATGGATTGTTGTCGAATCCTTCCTTGGGCATATCGATAACATTTATATTATTGGGTCATCCATTTTAAACTTCCAATATAAGGTCAATCGAATACTCGCATTGTTTTTAATGCATAGCTTATTCTAGAACGAAATTCGTACTACAGATGTCAATAAATCAGTATGTATGTATGTTAGAGGAAATATCAGGGTGACCGTGACAAATCGTTATTAACAAGAAATCTTCGAGACCGGCAGCCATAATACACTAAGATTCTGTCCGAAGGCGTAGATAATGACGTAAATTAGTAACGGCAAGATGAGTAACCTGGCTGAAAGGAGGAAAATATCGAAAAGTTTGTATACACGCGGCGGAATATCTACATCTCGGAACGTTTCGGTAATTTCAAAGATAAAAATAAATTTTAATGAGAACAGTATCAGGTTTTCCTGATTTATTTGTATTTCCTTTTATCAACGCCGATTTCACGCCCAATTAATAGCCTAACTTGAAAATAAAATAAAATAAAAAATAAATTGTAATGTAACAAAGACTCTTACATGAATTACCTTCTTTCAATGCGGTAAAAGACCAGATACGGTGTTTAAGATTTTGAAACTAATATCCAATATTTAAGATAATGAAGATGGAATTGAAAAAACCATTAAGAAAACAAACGTCTGGTTAAAATAATCGACGTTTTGTTTGCAAAGAAAGAAAAACGAATTTCTCTTAAAGCGCATCAAAGACAAAAGCTCCAGGATATTAAACTCATTCCGCTAATTAAATATTTTTTTTTTTTCGTATTTCCATTTAATGGCTCCACAAACATTTTTCTGATCTAAAGGAAGAAAAAATTTATTTTCCAAAAGTGTTAAAAGAAATTTTGAAAATTATTAAATGGATATTTAAATATAAATCTACATTTATTGTAATTAAATATTTTGTTTGGGAATTTGAGATTTCAAAGCCTGATTAATAAAGAAAAAAAACAAATACGAGTTACATGTGGGGAGTCCTAGATATCTACATCCGCTATTAATTATAGATACGAAGGGAAAAACCAATTTTTCCTATCTGTAATCTTATTTTTTAATTTGTTGTTTAAAGAAAATATTTTGAACTCTTTTATTAGAAATCTTTTTATGTCTTCGCCCATAAAATCCTTCGATGATAATGAAGAAACTTAATACGTTGCTCGTTACTTTCGGCATTCGTACGATCTGGAAGAGTTAAATAAATTAAAGTTTTAAACAGCGAATCTTACTATTTACGGAAAGAATTGTATTCTGACAGAATATAAATAATTCATCTAGATTAACTAAGAGATATAATATAAAAAGAAATATATAATTTCCAATTTCTAACGTCACGACTTTACTTGTGGCCGTTTTGTACTGTACTTTACAAAAAAACAACAACAATTATAGATGAAGAGATACGCCTTTTGAATGACAACTTATTAACAAAATAATCTTTATGGGGTTAGAGTTTGGGTTACCAATTCTAACTCCTTCTACCCAAAGTCACGTAATGTTTATTATGCGTGAAATTTTAATTGGAAGCGTGATTATTCTCACGCAATATATACCGAGTTATTTAATATAAACAAGTGTCCAGAAAAATATTCTCAAAACTTATTTTTTTAACCTATATTTCGGTCGAGAATTTTATGGGTTCTATATATCATAATTAATTCAAAAAATGTAAAATGTCGTGAGAAGAAACCCTTTATAACGGAATAAAAGGCAGGATGAAGCGATCGGGTCAAGTTAAAGGTGACGTAACGTGACCCTTATGTTAAAGATGCGAAGAATTATGAGAATTCTTTGTTTAAAACTTATGAAAAAGGACTTTTGCAATAGCATTCTCCTCCCTCGTATAATAGCAGGAGGTATATTAGCGTTAAACAACCTCGGGCACAAAATGGCGAATTATCTTGTTGGTCCGTGTCGATAAGCTCCCCGACTTCCAGCTTTCGGTAATGTAGGGGATGCAACAATAGCAGCTGTGAAACTGCAGGTGTTTGGATTATCGATTACTTAATTTTTTGATATCATCGACTCGATTCGTATGGATATATTTCTGAGAAAAATCTCCACGAGTTGATGGATATTTCCGAGAAAAACACAGTCAAATTTTTGATTCTATTTATCTTCTCTTAAATGTCAATCTAAATGATAAACTTTCATAATTAAAATTAGGTTGAGGACGCGAACTTGGCCCCAATTTAAAAAGTTCAGGGGCTCAATTAAGGGATTTTAATCCTCTTTTTACCCATTAGACGAGATTATTGTCGATTGTGTCATTTCGACTGATGTTATCTAATTACGCGATAAGATTACAACTATGGCCATTCACCTCTATCCTTGGAGTGAAAGCAACGCGAGCGGTTCTATAATCTAATCTTTAAGTTCTTGTCAGCTGTCAATTCTTAGCTATAATCGCAATCGAAGAGATTTAAAGAGAATTTTAATTTAAAGTGACTAGTTGGAGGGTCAATACCACAGAAACACTTTTCCGCATTCTTATAATGGTAGGGAGTCGTGTCCTGGTTTTTTGTCCTTTGAATTTAAGAAATTCAAATTACGCCATATTTGTCCTTGCATCATTTAAAAACTTTTTTTTACGAAACTGTTGCATCAACCTTGATTTTACAAGGCACTCCACCCAACCTTGATTTTCCCACGCGTGGCCATGTGGTAGTTTCTCATCGAAGCAAAGTCGCTACAAATCATTATAGGGGTTAAAAAATGATACACAGTCGTATTTAATGTAATCACTTACATCTAAGGTACACAATCAAGAACTAATTTCAAGATAATTTGAGCGGAAGCTAAATGGTTCGAGAGCGTGCACGATGCATTTAAAGTCCGAAATTCTCATTATGGTTTTGGATCATTCCCTTCGAAACGGAATGATCCAGAACCACCGGTAACCAGTAGTAACAGAGAAGGATTTGTAAATGCGACAGATAATAACAGATCAATCATGAGAAATGGTGTGGGATGCTATCACCCATGGCAACTGATGTAGGCTTTCGATATGTGGGTGGAACTACTAAGATTGCTATCGCTCCTTTTCCCAAAATGGAAACTAAACACGAAAACTGGTCTGTCCTAAATATGATGATTTTTCTAGTTACATATCATAAAAACACTCGAATGGGTCGCGCGTAGGTCTCATAATCTTATTCTAAAGTATATAGAATTCTTTCTGAAGTGCCTTGCGGAGAGAAGGTCCTGCAAATAAAGTATATAAAATTCAGAGCTTAAAATGTTTGGCAGCACTAGCATCAACTTCAACGTTATTAATTCACAAGACAGATGTTAAATAGTGTTAATTTTTGAATATTTTAGCAATTCTTAAATTAAAAATTAACCTTTAAAATCAATTAAATGTATAAGAAAAAAAAAACGTTAACAAAGCTTCTTTTACAAGAGACGAGATCGTCTCTTTTGCATGATGCAATTTTCAACAAAATTGCAGCTAGGGCAAAATTCCAGTCATTATCTTTTGAATCAATAAGAGTCCTCTTATGCTTCCGCTTGTATGAAAATTTACCTTAGAACGTAGGCTTAAAACTAGTTAGGCTATTTTAACAAACTACTTAGGTTATATATCAGTCTGTTTATTCTTATTTGTTATCAAAAGTGCTAAAAAATCCTACACAAAAAAATGCGAAACATCAGGTTAATAACAGACAATTCCTTTAACCATGTGGGGTGGATATGCATACTAAGCAGTCATTTTCAGGAAGTGTCCATAATAATATTGAATGTAGGAGGTATCACTGTCCACAAACAGGTTATTCTCATGTGATGATAATTATATTATTTTGAGGGCTACGATCGTCAGAAAGTTTTTTTGTAGAAGACAATGAAAACATTCTTTTTTTATATTTCGATTATATGAACCAAATATACGGTTTGAAAATCTTTTTAAAAGTTTTTAAATTGTAATTCGTATATAGGAAATGACATTGGTCTAACCTACTCCTTAATATTGTCGATCCATAATTATAGAAAATTGTTATTTTTGCAGAATTTTTCATCTTTGATAAATGGTTGCGAAAACCCGTTACATTCTTCCATTTTATTCTCTTGTATAACTTCCGAATTTCCTACGAAAGAGGTCGCATAAATTTTCTCAAGTCCCGACAATAGCCCGAAGGAATAATACAAATTATTCATTAATAAGAATTATGTAGGCAATCCTTCGTCGAGCTAATAAAAGCCAGTTTCTATTATCAGAAAAATATTACGACTAAATTTCTATAGAAGCAAGATTTACGTATTGTTTATCGTTGTTATTTACACAATGGAAAGAGTTTGGCACAGTGTGTTACCCATCGCGGGTATCGAATAACATCATACATTAAATTCTCTTTACTGTTCTCACCATACGAAGGCTAAAATTATTACTAAATGCCAGTAGAATGAATGCACTCAATCACAGACAAAAATCTGTAACCATACGACTGTAAATCCTGTCTTGGCAACACTAAACCGTGTAGTTCCTTTTCGACCGGAAATACCCATTCTACCGTTATCTGCACACCCGGCAGGTGATGTCAAGGACGAGAGAAAGCTAGTCAACCCTCCTTTTTCCTTTCGGGAGCAATAACATGTGACTCAATCTTACCACGTTTGGCCGCTTTGTTATAAAAGGGATCCCGACAACTGTTTTGTAATATGAAAAAAAGGCCAACCGATTACATTTTAAAATGAGAAATTTCCACGCTCGAGATAATTTTCCGATCATTTGCTACAATCGATTCTCTAAATTAATTTTTTCCGAATCGTACGTCTGATAATAGTGAAATTAAACCTCGTTACGGCTCCTTTACGGTTCCTCTTCCATTGAAAAAAGAGGAAAGAGATCTCCAATAATTAAATCTGACCCAGAACAACTGAAGATTGATACGTTCTTCTTTAAATATAAAATAAGTTAAGGCCATTTAAAAGTATTTTCTAATAATAAAAACGACCAGACACAATTATAAAACTTGAAGAAGTCGCGACGAAAATACTTTGAATTCATCGATTTTTGAAAGGAACACTGTGTCATGGCCACAGTCTGCACATCTAATCCACGACAATCATCGATCTGTCTTAGTATGCGAGATGCCATGTGACTCTTGCTATTTTTATGATCCATAAACCCTAAAGAGAATAGCATCGTTCGGTCTGAAATTACTTCGCTTATCCCACCGCTTAATTTTCCTCACTGCTATTTTCGAATGAAATATATACCCATCTTTCGAGTTAAAACGATAAAGAATGAATATATCATATATATCAAACCAGTTTTTACGATCCTTTTGGCTTCCTCCCCATGTTTTAATTATATAATTTGTATGAAAAAGAATATTACAAGAGAATAATTTATGTAATAAACTATATATGGATAAATTTTTGGGTTAAAAAAAAAGCGTTAGTCTTTCTTTTAGGACATCTCCATTGTTAAAGATTTTGGTGTCAGCCTTTTTCTTAAAACTAAACACGCTTTCTGCCCGCCTACGTAGGTGTGTCCACACTTTTATCTAGGTCTGAAATGGAAGTTTTCCACTTCGATGGATTAATCATTCATTTGTGGCACGATTTTCTCATTTTTATCTACCAAGAAAAATATTATTACACATTTACAATAATAATAAATAAGAGATTTTGTCCATGTTTGTTTTTAATGCTCGCATAGATTCGATGCTAGATGCCCCATATACGATAGGCCATAAAATTTGGTTTGGGTCAGGAAATAAACAAATTCACTTAGATAAAATCTTTTAATTTAAATTTCAAGAGCGCAAGATTTGCAATTTCACAGATCGGAAGAGGAAAAAAACCAACGATATTTAGGTCTACGTACTACGTATGTAGGCTAAGTCAACCTAATCTCTAACGATTTCAACATTAATGTGTCAGGTGTACTCGATTTCGAAAAAGTACCATTATCTAACAATTAGAAAAGTAATTCTAATCGAGTAATTAGAAAACTCCATTTTTCAACAGCCCGCTTGTTTCTGTTAATAACAAGTTTTGAAATGCACAACATTCACAGTTAGAGAAATCGTTTATACCACTCAGTTAATGACTTAATTATCCAATTACTGGTTTGGAAACATGCAGAAGAGCTTGGCTATTATATCATATTGCTTCGTATGTATATATATATCACTCTAAATTTGCATCTAAGATTTTACTCAACTGTCCATACACGTATCAAGAGTTCTTTCCTGACCCGCACTAATATGGGTCATTGTCATGTAAACATACCTGGCTAGAGGCAAAAGCCGTTCAATGGATACTCGTCCCTTTATTACATAACCTTGCCGTGTCTATCTCTTCCTGTAAAACTCGAAAATTAATGCTCGTTTTAGAATAGTATTGTCCCTCTCGTGAGAGATTTCGAACAGGTGGCACACACGATCTTTCTGTTTGTAGCAACACTCGCATGGTTTGTCTGCGAGAAAACTGAATTAATGCACGCCTCCCTTCCGATCGAAAGATTAATTTAGTGGCTTTTGCACTCCAGCAAAATACAGATTAAGCACTAATTAAGAATACTAATTTCTCAGATGGAAATGCGATTTAATTAAATTTATTTATCTGTATTTAATAAATTGAATTATATTATCTTGGTGGAAGAGGAATTCGCCATTTTACGATAATTTTCTGCTCTGAGATAAATGATTATGACGTTACTATAAATACGTATATAAAGTGGCTTTAAACTTTATCAAGCGATGTTTTATTATCTGGATTAGAGGAGATAGCAGGATAGCATGGGTCTGCAATTCTTTGTAGCGTAGCACAGTATCATCCGGTTCTTGGCCACTTGTCTGCGGTCACGGTCTCTTAATTTTTTTTTCTTATTTCTTTTTCTAATTCCTAAATTTATGCTTCAAACTTTCTAATTTTTAAAATTAAAAAAAAAAATTGTGTAAAATGTTTATCCAGTCTGGATGAAATCTAAACCTATAAAACTTGGAAATTAATTCTCTTAAGGAAACGAATAATCGATTTGGGAATAGAAAGTCACTTAACGACATTACGCTTCGCTTTGAAGAGGAGGATGTGAATTACAGTTTTCGTTTATTCTTGTTAATTTATAGCTAAACAAGATCTCAACTGGATTAAGTTGTTGAAACGAACAGTTAAATGTTTCTTTTTGGGAATTTTTAAGAAGAAAAAATCCTTTCTAATTATCTCTTGTGTTTAGCAGAGCTTAAAATGCGGAGGAACTTAATAAATTGTTATCGTTATTTCCCTCATTAATTCTTTGGTGCAGCCAAATCCGGTAGAGCGAAACACAAAAGTCCTTTCACTCCAACTTGGATTGAACATTTTTTAAAATGTTATATAAAAACAAAATTAAAGATAGAGTATTATATTATGACTTTGACTCGTCTCAATTATAAACAAGTTCTCTCAATGGCCAGAGGGGAGCAATGTCAACACTGCACTTTGTCTAACTGGTACGACTCGATTTTTGTTGATCACCATAGTGTTTTGTACTTCCTTCTGTCAGGAAATAGTCTCTTTCATTTCCAACAGAACCTATCTTTACACTCGTTCTACAAATACGAAAACCGAACTCGCCAGGTAATATTAAAAATCGAGAACACCTGGTTATGGTTTTATTGTCGAAGATACGTGTTTATTCCGTGATTCATCGTCAATTATATTTCTAGAATCAAGAGAAACATTTATCTTTATTATCTGAATGCTCATCTAAAAGTAATATTTACCTAACATGCCTCTATTAATACATTCATTGACTTTACATTCTACGGCATTCAAACTGTAAATTCTTCAGTTATAATTGAAAAATAACACTTAGTTTATTCTTCATTCTGTAGAAATTCATTTAAAATAAATATTTGGGACATTTATATTATATTAAAATATGAAACGTGTAGGATAATATGATTTCCTGTACAGTAACAAACAATATCCTTTTCCGCAGGATATCGAACTTAATAAAGTTTAATTAGAAGTGAAATGGTAAAACTCTGATCTATTGGTCTATATTTAGGTTGTAGCGTCAAATTGAGGAATTGTTCGTAAATGTTTTGATTGTATAAACCGTGTCTACGACGAGGCATGCGACGTAGCCTACAAATATGGACTGCGAAAATCGATCAACTCCACGAGAATTCTCATTGATTGAAAGCGTGGAATGTTGCATTTTAAATACTGTGGATTTCTATTACTAACCGGTCATTTTCTATTAAAGGTGGGTGTTTTAAATTCCATTTTCCTGCATAACCGCTGCTCAATTTGGCAGGTGTCCCTACTTATTCTCTGTATAGAGAGTAGGTGTCAATGAAATAAATACATACATAAAATCGATGTTTACATGCAAATTAGATCGCTCCATGCAAACATATGATTTATATATGGCATTTTTCGTAAGATTATATAATGTAAAAATTAGAATTATGTTAGTGGAAATATCGTGAGAACGCAATAAACGGAACGACACCGATCAATTTCTTACGAAGCACCTAAAACGCACTTTTACAGACTCACCTGTATTAATTTCTCTGATAGTGGCCGGATGAATGTATCCATCTTTATGGATCTGAATCTCCTCCGTATCGTAGAGGCAATAGCATTTTCTAGTATCCTTTTCCCATTCCTTTCGCATGCATTTCGAAGTCTGATAGCAGATGGCCCATGCTTGTTCTTCGCTAATAGATGCATTGAACGACTGCAAAATGGATGACAATTTGACACAACCTTTAGCGTCCAAAGCACACCGTGGCGATAGCTTTCTCTCGACCGCCATGCTGTCTATGAACGAATATGACAACTGCACTGCAGAACTGGTACGCTTAGCACACACGCACGCACATACAAACACTGACTGGATCCGTAATTGACTGCTTAAAATGACGATCGCCATCTGGAGACCGTTTCGTGAATTATATTTTTCATATCAATCCATATTGTTTAGAAGTCAATTTTCAATATCTTTTGTTATATTGACGCGAAAATTACAAATAAGGGAATAAGAATTGAATAAACTTAACTTAAAATTATATATTATGTCGAGTTATTGTTTAACTTTAAAGTAAAATATATATTTCGAATACAGTATTAACTGTATAATAAACCCTATTTCTATTCTCTGCCTAAAATAATTCCTATAAGAAAAAGAAATTCAATGATGCTTTATCTACTTAATTGGCTTATATTTATTATTATTATTATTTTTTAAAGGATAGAATATTTGTAATGGCATGTTTTTAAATTAAACAATTAAGATAAATACTTAAGAGCTATCGATATAAATACTTAAACATGACGTCAGTATAACAGATTAAATATAATTATTGTCGATTATTTTTTTATTGTGATTTCTGAATTGAATAATATACATGACTATAATTACAAGATATTATTTAATAAGTAATTTNATTTATAAGCGCTTTTAAAGTTAGTTTGTCTTATATATATATTTTTTTCTTTACAGAAAGGAAACTTCTGTTTACCAAACCCATTTTAAATTGTTTTTTTGTGAAGACATATTTGAATAATTACGTTCGATTTAACAAAATGTTAGTTAGTTACATAGTTATAATTATATTTGTAACTAAGCAACTACGTTGTTAACATTTTTTTTTCTTTAATTAAGGAAAAACTTCAACAGCAAACATAATTATAGTGGCATCAGTTGGTTACAATGTTCAACTAGAAAACAAAGAAAATGGCATTTCAGTTCTGCGAGAAGCAACATCGTGTAACATATTTCAACACTAACTGATCTAATCATGAAACATGTTAACTTTCCCTTATAGAATATAAAATTTAACTATAAAGTTTTCTTCTGGTAGGGCGATATGAAAAAAAGAAAAAAAAAAATTTTTTTTCTTCTTCGAAGCATTCGAAGATGGATGATCCCAAATACTTGGATCGTGTTCAATTTAAGTTAAATTTAATTTCCTCCTGCAAAGAGAACTGAATTCTAACAATTTAAGAAGAAACTTTTTCACATTATTCGTTAAAATACAATTTATTCTCTCGCTGTATTTTTTTAAGTTCGTCGGTTGGTTGACCACAGATAATAGACGTAAATAAAGCCAAGATTACAAAAGATATAACACGCGGTAAAATATTGTTAAATCGCATTTACATTTATTCGAGAAGGTAAAAATTATTATTATTATTTTTTTAAATTATATAACATTTTTACACAAAAAAAATGCTAATTTAATTCCGTATATAAAGGCAACTAGTGACACAATTATCGTCGACAAATTAATGATCCACAACATATACTTTAACTCTACAAAAGGATTAGTCACCATCTGTCCATGACCTTGCAACCAAACACCTGCTCGTTCCCACTAAATTGTTCTCACATCACTGCATCCATTCTTAATGGGTGTTATTTTCTGTATAATTGTCTTACGGCACATCATTTTCCTCCCTCTCTTTTCTGAAATTTTAAATTGTATGTATCGAAACGTTCGCGTATCATGAATTTTCGTGTAGCCCACCTCGAGAAACCGAAGCGTGAAAAGTTTAATGTTTATCAAATCAGTTAACGATAACAGCTTCCATGTTTTCTAGACATGTTCGGAATGCCGTGTGAAAGCTACAGAATAAAAAATTTATGGCTATTCAATTGGTTAAGTGAGTTTGAAATTCAGTTTCTATTGTTGTCTAGAATTTAGAATTTAAAAAATTAGTAGGAGTTGCCACGAATACAATACATCCCCCCCCCTTTTATCTAACTTTTAACGAGTAAAACTTTTCAAAAAATCAATGAAAAATAATGTAAATTAATTATGATTTTTTCGCTCTCGAAACGCATTTGTATCTGGCATTGATAATTAGAAATTTGAATATTTAAATTATTCTTTTTAAATATATTTAATAATAATTAAAATTGTATTTTTGTCTAAAAAAAATTTTTTTTCTTTCGTACCTCCATTACTTTAATTAAAGTCACGCCCTGCGACTGTTTAGAATCGGAATCGTCGTTCGTTTCATCTTCCTCCGCATCTCTCTCGATACCTTCGTCACCATTTTGAGATTCAGCGTCATCATCTGACGTCGTACCTTCGTCATCTTGATCCGCTGACGTCATCACGTCGATTAAACTCTCTAATTGATTGCTAAGACTTCTTTCTTCGTTTTCCGATAAGCCGTAATCTAATGCTTTAAAAATTGCCAGACCCAAGGACGAAACGAGCTGCATTGAAAAAAAATAATAATAAATGCGAGAAAGCCATTNATTCTCTTTACTGTTCTCACCATACGAAGGCTAAAATTATTACTAAATGCCAGTAGAATGAATGCACTCAATCACAGACAAAAATCTGTAACCATACGACTGTAAATCCTGTCTTGGCAACACTAAACCGTGTAGTTCCTTTTCGACCGGAAATACCCATTCTACCGTTATCTGCACACCCGGCAGGTGATGTCAAGGACGAGAGAAAGCTAGTCAACCCTCCTTTTTCCTTTCGGGAGCAATAACATGTGACTCAATCTTACCACGTTTGGCCGCTTTGTTATAAAAGGGATCCCGACAACTGTTTTGTAATATGAAAAAAAGGCCAACCGATTACATTTTAAAATGAGAAATTTCCACGCTCGAGATAATTTTCCGATCATTTGCTACAATCGATTCTCTAAATTAATTTTTTCCGAATCGTACGTCTGATAATAGTGAAATTAAACCTCGTTACGGCTCCTTTACGGTTCCTCTTCCATTGAAAAAAGAGGAAAGAGATCTCCAATAATTAAATCTGACCCAGAACAACTGAAGATTGATACGTTCTTCTTTAAATATAAAATAAGTTAAGGCCATTTAAAAGTATTTTCTAATAATAAAAACGACCAGACACAATTATAAAACTTGAAGAAGTCGCGACGAAAATACTTTGAATTCATCGATTTTTGAAAGGAACACTGTGTCATGGCCACAGTCTGCACATCTAATCCACGACAATCATCGATCTGTCTTAGTATGCGAGATGCCATGTGACTCTTGCTATTTTTATGATCCATAAACCCTAAAGAGAATAGCATCGTTCGGTCTGAAATTACTTCGCTTATCCCACCGCTTAATTTTCCTCACTGCTATTTTCGAATGAAATATATACCCATCTTTCGAGTTAAAACGATAAAGAATGAATATATCATATATATCAAACCAGTTTTTACGATCCTTTTGGCTTCCTCCCCATGTTTTAATTATATAATTTGTATGAAAAAGAATATTACAAGAGAATAATTTATGTAATAAACTATATATGGATAAATTTTTGGGTTAAAAAAAAAGCGTTAGTCTTTCTTTTAGGACATCTCCATTGTTAAAGATTTTGGTGTCAGCCTTTTTCTTAAAACTAAACACGCTTTCTGCCCGCCTACGTAGGTGTGTCCACACTTTTATCTAGGTCTGAAATGGAAGTTTTCCACTTCGATGGATTAATCATTCATTTGTGGCACGATTTTCTCATTTTTATCTACCAAGAAAAATATTATTACACATTTACAATAATAATAAATAAGAGATTTTGTCCATGTTTGTTTTTAATGCTCGCATAGATTCGATGCTAGATGCCCCATATACGATAGGCCATAAAATTTGGTTTGGGTCAGGAAATAAACAAATTCACTTAGATAAAATCTTTTAATTTAAATTTCAAGAGCGCAAGATTTGCAATTTCACAGATCGGAAGAGGAAAAAAACCAACGATATTTAGGTCTACGTACTACGTATGTAGGCTAAGTCAACCTAATCTCTAACGATTTCAACATTAATGTGTCAGGTGTACTCGATTTCGAAAAAGTACCATTATCTAACAATTAGAAAAGTAATTCTAATCGAGTAATTAGAAAACTCCATTTTTCAACAGCCCGCTTGTTTCTGTTAATAACAAGTTTTGAAATGCACAACATTCACAGTTAGAGAAATCGTTTATACCACTCAGTTAATGACTTAATTATCCAATTACTGGTTTGGAAACATGCAGAAGAGCTTGGCTATTATATCATATTGCTTCGTATGTATATATATATCACTCTAAATTTGCATCTAAGATTTTACTCAACTGTCCATACACGTATCAAGAGTTCTTTCCTGACCCGCACTAATATGGGTCATTGTCATGTAAACATACCTGGCTAGAGGCAAAAGCCGTTCAATGGATACTCGTCCCTTTATTACATAACCTTGCCGTGTCTATCTCTTCCTGTAAAACTCGAAAATTAATGCTCGTTTTAGAATAGTATTGTCCCTCTCGTGAGAGATTTCGAACAGGTGGCACACACGATCTTTCTGTTTGTAGCAACACTCGCATGGTTTGTCTGCGAGAAAACTGAATTAATGCACGCCTCCCTTCCGATCGAAAGATTAATTTAGTGGCTTTTGCACTCCAGCAAAATACAGATTAAGCACTAATTAAGAATACTAATTTCTCAGATGGAAATGCGATTTAATTAAATTTATTTATCTGTATTTAATAAATTGAATTATATTATCTTGGTGGAAGAGGAATTCGCCATTTTACGATAATTTTCTGCTCTGAGATAAATGATTATGACGTTACTATAAATACGTATATAAAGTGGCTTTAAACTTTATCAAGCGATGTTTTATTATCTGGATTAGAGGAGATAGCAGGATAGCATGGGTCTGCAATTCTTTGTAGCGTAGCACAGTATCATCCGGTTCTTGGCCACTTGTCTGCGGTCACGGTCTCTTAATTTTTTTTTCTTATTTCTTTTTCTAATTCCTAAATTTATGCTTCAAACTTTCTAATTTTTAAAATTAAAAAAAAAAATTGTGTAAAATGTTTATCCAGTCTGGATGAAATCTAAACCTATAAAACTTGGAAATTAATTCTCTTAAGGAAACGAATAATCGATTTGGGAATAGAAAGTCACTTAACGACATTACGCTTCGCTTTGAAGAGGAGGATGTGAATTACAGTTTTCGTTTATTCTTGTTAATTTATAGCTAAACAAGATCTCAACTGGATTAAGTTGTTGAAACGAACAGTTAAATGTTTCTTTTTGGGAATTTTTAAGAAGAAAAAATCCTTTCTAATTATCTCTTGTGTTTAGCAGAGCTTAAAATGCGGAGGAACTTAATAAATTGTTATCGTTATTTCCCTCATTAATTCTTTGGTGCAGCCAAATCCGGTAGAGCGAAACACAAAAGTCCTTTCACTCCAACTTGGATTGAACATTTTTTAAAATGTTATATAAAAACAAAATTAAAGATAGAGTATTATATTATGACTTTGACTCGTCTCAATTATAAACAAGTTCTCTCAATGGCCAGAGGGGAGCAATGTCAACACTGCACTTTGTCTAACTGGTACGACTCGATTTTTGTTGATCACCATAGTGTTTTGTACTTCCTTCTGTCAGGAAATAGTCTCTTTCATTTCCAACAGAACCTATCTTTACACTCGTTCTACAAATACGAAAACCGAACTCGCCAGGTAATATTAAAAATCGAGAACACCTGGTTATGGTTTTATTGTCGAAGATACGTGTTTATTCCGTGATTCATCGTCAATTATATTTCTAGAATCAAGAGAAACATTTATCTTTATTATCTGAATGCTCATCTAAAAGTAATATTTACCTAACATGCCTCTATTAATACATTCATTGACTTTACATTCTACGGCATTCAAACTGTAAATTCTTCAGTTATAATTGAAAAATAACACTTAGTTTATTCTTCATTCTGTAGAAATTCATTTAAAATAAATATTTGGGACATTTATATTATATTAAAATATGAAACGTGTAGGATAATATGATTTCCTGTACAGTAACAAACAATATCCTTTTCCGCAGGATATCGAACTTAATAAAGTTTAATTAGAAGTGAAATGGTAAAACTCTGATCTATTGGTCTATATTTAGGTTGTAGCGTCAAATTGAGGAATTGTTCGTAAATGTTTTGATTGTATAAACCGTGTCTACGACGAGGCATGCGACGTAGCCTACAAATATGGACTGCGAAAATCGATCAACTCCACGAGAATTCTCATTGATTGAAAGCGTGGAATGTTGCATTTTAAATACTGTGGATTTCTATTACTAACCGGTCATTTTCTATTAAAGGTGGGTGTTTTAAATTCCATTTTCCTGCATAACCGCTGCTCAATTTGGCAGGTGTCCCTACTTATTCTCTGTATAGAGAGTAGGTGTCAATGAAATAAATACATACATAAAATCGATGTTTACATGCAAATTAGATCGCTCCATGCAAACATATGATTTATATATGGCATTTTTCGTAAGATTATATAATGTAAAAATTAGAATTATGTTAGTGGAAATATCGTGAGAACGCAATAAACGGAACGACACCGATCAATTTCTTACGAAGCACCTAAAACGCACTTTTACAGACTCACCTGTATTAATTTCTCTGATAGTGGCCGGATGAATGTATCCATCTTTATGGATCTGAATCTCCTCCGTATCGTAGAGGCAATAGCATTTTCTAGTATCCTTTTCCCATTCCTTTCGCATGCATTTCGAAGTCTGATAGCAGATGGCCCATGCTTGTTCTTCGCTAATAGATGCATTGAACGACTGCAAAATGGATGACAATTTGACACAACCTTTAGCGTCCAAAGCACACCGTGGCGATAGCTTTCTCTCGACCGCCATGCTGTCTATGAACGAATATGACAACTGCACTGCAGAACTGGTACGCTTAGCACACACGCACGCACATACAAACACTGACTGGATCCGTAATTGACTGCTTAAAATGACGATCGCCATCTGGAGACCGTTTCGTGAATTATATTTTTCATATCAATCCATATTGTTTAGAAGTCAATTTTCAATATCTTTTGTTATATTGACGCGAAAATTACAAATAAGGGAATAAGAATTGAATAAACTTAACTTAAAATTATATATTATGTCGAGTTATTGTTTAACTTTAAAGTAAAATATATATTTCGAATACAGTATTAACTGTATAATAAACCCTATTTCTATTCTCTGCCTAAAATAATTCCTATAAGAAAAAGAAATTCAATGATGCTTTATCTACTTAATTGGCTTATATTTATTATTATTATATTTTTTTTCTGAAGAAATATCACAGTTTAATTTAAATTTTAAAGTTAAGTCTGAATACCGTTTTAAATAAATTTAAAATCGATTTGAATTTAAAAATTCGACGATTTTTACGTTGTGTTATGGTTTATTATCAAGATATCAATCGAAGTGTAACGC